AGGAATTTTGGGACTGACATGTGAATGTACTGACATTGTGAATGTGACTGTGATATTGCGAATGTGACTGACATTGTGAATGTGACTGACATTGTGAATGTGACTGTGATATTGTGAATGTGACTGGCATTGTGAATGTGACTGTGATATTGTGAATGTGACTGTGATATTGTGAATGTGACTGTGATTTGTGAATGTGACTGTGATATTGTGAATGTGACTGACATTGTGAATGTGACTGACATTGTGAATGTGACTGACATTGTGAATGTGACTGTGATATTGTGAATGTGACTGGCATTGTGAATGTGACTGTGATATTGTGAATGTGACTGTGATATTGTGAATGTGACTGAGATATTGTGAATGTGACTGTGATATTGTGAATGTGACTGTGATATTGTGAATGTGACTGTGACATTGTGACTGTGACTGTGATATTGTGAATGTGACTGTGATATTGTGAATGTGACTGTGATATTGTGAATGTGACTGTGATATTGTGAATGTGACTGTGATATTGTGAATGTGACTGTGATATTGTGAATGTGACAGTGATATTGTGAATGTGACTGTGATATTGTGAATGTGACTGTGATAGTGAATGTGACTGTGATATTGTGAATGTGACTGTGACATTGTGACTGTGAATGTGATATTGTGAATGTGACTGTGATATTGTGAATGTGACTGTGATATTGTGAATGTGACTGTGATATTGTGAATGTGACAGTGATATTGTGAATGTGACAGTGATAAATTTTGATTTTGACTGTGATATTGTGAATGTGACTGGATAGTGAATGTGACTGTGATATTGTGAATGTGACTGTGACATTGTGACTGTGAATGTGATATTGTGAATGTGACTGTGATATTGTGAATGTGACTGTGATATTGTGAATGTGACTGTGATATTGTGGATGTGACAGTGATATTGTGAATGTGACAGTGATATTGTGAATGTGACAGTGATATTGTGAATGTGACTGTGATATTGTGAATGTGACTGTGATAGTGAATGTGACTGTGATATTGTGAATGTGACTGTGACATTGTGACTGTGAATGTGATATTGTGAATGTGACTGTGATATTGTGAATGTGACTGTGATATTGTGAATGTGACTGTGATATTGTGAATGTGACAGTGATATTGTGAATGTGACTGTGATATTGTGAATGTGACTGTGATAGTGAATGTGACTGTGATATTGAAGGGTCGTCTTCCTTTCAAGGCTGGAAGCCAGGATGTCAGTTTAAGACACGTATCACTGCCACTACCAACCCCAACCACCAGTACCCACTTCTACCACCACCACCATTACCCGCTACCACTACCTCTGCTATGATATCTTACACCACTACCACTACCAACCACCAGTACCCACTTCTACCACCACCACCATTACCCGCTACCACTACCTCTGCTATGATATCTTACACAACTACCACTACCAACCACCAGTACCCACCCTACCCCCCACCACCATTACCCGCTACCCCTACCTCTGCTATGATATCTACACCACTACCACTACCCAAACCACCAGTACCCCACCACCACCACCACCCCATTACCCCCCTACCCCCTACCTCTGCTATGA